CCCCCTGGCAGAAACGCTGGTTCCAACATATTGTACATGATAGGCTAAGGAGCTTGACATCTATAAAGGGTTGACAAATCACAACAGAGCCGGCCAGCTAACCAATCAGAGCAGACTGGGCTCTGGTTTCAGACAGAGGGTGAAAAGAGGTGCTACAGGGACAACATACAAATATTAACTGAAAATTAGCATAATATGTCCTCTTTAAGCTCATTAGAAGACTGCCCTCATATTTAATATAGTAAGAATTGACCAACCCTTTTTGATAACTTAATAAACCCTAGATGCATATTTCGTTTTGCTTTAAAGCCACAGAAAAGGAACAAGTCGTTTCACAAGAGGTTATTTTGATATTTGTGCAGCATAGCATAACCGACTGCATTGAGGTATTTGAGTTCCATACCCGTGTTTCCAAGAACAAAATATGTACTCTGTAGAGGTTCTTCAAAAGACACATGCCCTCTTTTTCTTCTCTCTACTGCAGTGAATAGCCTTTGTGGAGTGAGCTGGTTTCAAAGGCACACGAAGGGCGCCTCACACAGGTAGAGCTCCACAAAGTAGAAGCACACTTGTGTTCCCTTCGCTGTGCACCTGAAGTGAAAAAGTCAAAGTGTCCTTGTATAAACCAATTTATAAAAAGTATAATTTCCTAACTTTGCCACCAGTGCAGCCTTTCATTTTCAAGATGTTGCCCACGCAGACTGAAATCACATCCAGTCATCTTATTTTAAAACGTTGTCAACATGTGTTTTACTTTTAGGAAATATTGGACATGTTTCTATTTGTCTCGTGCTAAACCACTAAGGCGTTTGGTAAAGGTCACGGTCATTGTGAAGAGTCTAGATGTAAAATAGGCTGTAAACTCCCTGTTCTTCATCGATGGAGTTCGTATCTTCTATCTTGTATTCTGTCGAGACTGCAAAAGATAACGTTTATGCAGAAATACCAGGGGGCGGCAGTTTGATGTAGTCTGGAGGCAGGCTATTACGTTTTTTTCCTTCAAGTGGAGTCATGAAGGGATAAACACCTGTACACCTTAATTAGTTCCAAACCTACAAGAAAAACCTTCTGCTTTGACACTGAACTCTGAAATAAAAATTCAAACGTGGGCTGCAGAATCAAACATCGCTCTATATTCGCTAAGGTTAATTGGTTTGACCCTGACTTGACTGAAAACTATTAGAAAACAACAAAACATCTTGCTATTCATTAATTCCAACAGCTTTACCAAACTCAGACACAAAGCCATGTAAGTGAGAAGGAGTACGGCATTATTTATTCCCATGATGATTGAGAGTTATTTAAAGGGGCCCTATTATGCTATTCTCTATCCCAGGGGTGGGGAACCTTTTTCCTCTCAAGGGCCATTTCAATTTTTACAATATCCTCAGAGGGCCGTACAAATGATTGACCTCTGCTTAAAAAAACTAAAATCACAGCCCACTCATTTCATTCTGTGCAAAGAAAAAGCAACCTCTTAATCCAGATATCTCACCATGACTCGCGTATGCATGCACGTGCACGGTGTGGCGTGACCACCAAAACAGAAAGATATGGACACAAGATGTGTGCAAATGTATTTAGTTTCCTATCCATGTGAACATGATTTAAGTGGGGGGGGGGGGGAACTAACCTCCTCTAGGAGGGTCCGGGGGGCATGCTCCCCTGGGAAGATGTGTTTTTAAATGTTGAAGTTAAAAGCATAAATCTGGTGCACTTTGAGAGCAACATTAGTAGATCTATGGATACATCTCTCAACACCCATATGAAACAGCACTGGAAGCAGATTTATTTTTCTTTATGAATATTTGACAAATCTCTCTCCTTTCAAACTGTATTCTTGTTTATTAATAACAACTTTTTTTTACTGTCATATAGTATTTTATACCTGTTTACTTTATTCTCTTATTTTTTTATAACTATAATGATCATATGAAGATGTGCCTTTACCTCACTGGTTGGAGAAAAAGCTTCTTATATGTGTTAGCATAGCTAGCTAACCAGATGCTAATAACAAAGAAGGTATTGACTGTATGATCAGAATGACAGATGAACAGACCACTGGGCTTTCAACTAAAGACACAGACACGCAGAAACTGCGTCATGTGTACGGCTCCTTATGGGTACTGCCATTTCTGAAGTGCTGGAGTGGCGTTCTGGTGCTCCCCGTCAGAACTGCACCCCTGTCAGTCGAGACATAATCGTGATGACACGTTAGGCTCGTGTTGTGTTCAAGGAACCTGACCTTGGCCAGGAAAAACAGGCACTCGCTTGTTTAATTTTTTTGCGGTCTAGATTTCTTACATTTTTTTCTTTTTTGCGTGTGTTTATAAATTACCTCGAGGGCCGTACCAAATTGTCTCGCGGGCCGTATACGGCCCGGAGGCCGGAGGTTCCCCACCCCTGCTCTATCCTGTAGTTTGTTAAATAATTTATTTGTTTGTGCATTTAAATGTTCTGCAAAGGCTAAAATCCCAAAGTTCCCCCCAGAAGGAGTTTCTCTCCAACACACTCCCTGAAAACGCCTCCAATGTACTCCTTTGTTTACTTCTGTAACATAGTGACATCACAATGGAAAACTCGCTCTTCTATAGGCTAGCGTTCCAACACATTGCACGGATTGGGAAATATCTAAGCTATTGACCAATCACAACAGAGCCGTCCACTAACCAATCAGAGCAGACTGGGCTATGGTTTCAGACAGAGGGTGAAAAGAGGTGCTGCAGCACAGTATGAGAAAAATAAAGAGCTTTTTGAACATCAAAGCGTGTGGACATGTCACAGTAGAGGCACAAAATAGGAACCTGAAAAAGAGCATATTAGGACCCCTTCAAGTAGGGCTGCTCTATTATGGCAAAAATCATAATCTTGATTATTTGGGTCAATAATTGATATCAGTGTTTCCGCCAGACCAGGGCTGAGAGGGCGTCCACCCCAAGAGCGTCCCTTATAGATACTATCTCTTTACGTTAGTGAGCCGGATCATTTGACTCGGCTCTCTTAAAGCGCCGGCTGTTTCGGCTCCCAAACGGCTCTTCATGTTACCACAGTTTACCACGGAGCCTCAGTTTCGCTGCGGCGAGGCTCTGGTGCTCGCAGCTCACGCACGTGCTCCACTAGCACCGCTCATCGCGTCCAAATCGCGCACGTTCCGTATTGTCCTGTAGCAGGCACCGCCGATGTCGGGGAAACGATCTTCAATACTCCGAAAAGAATCCCACCAGACTCTTTTGCCCCTCCAACAGAGGGATGTCCTTGTCCTTTTCGTCATTTCAAGCGATAACAACTCTCGATCTTCTCTCGAATTATTAATTTTTTGGGACGCCCACGGCTCGAGTTCAGGGCGTTCCGAGCTAAATAAGGGCGTCAAATGACGGCAAGACGCCCCCCTGGCGGAAATGCTGATTGATATCACGATTATTAAAAACGATTATCCATTTACTTTGAAAACATCAATCTATTGGAGAATTTTTTTTTTAACAGTATGTTTTTAACAGTTGAAGTTTAATTATAATTCAACTGAAAAACCAATAAAAAAATAATAGTAATAATAATTAAAAAAATAATCGTTTTATTTCAATTACGTTGTTTTCGTAATCGTTGCAAGCCATAATCGTAATTGCGATTAATTGAGCAGCCCTACCTTCAAGGCATTTCCTTGGGTTCATTCATGGAAACCTTTATTTGGTCCTGTACTGTGACGACAAAGGTTCTCCTGAGAAAATCCTGTCGGTTTTCCAAACATTTCCCAGGAGTAGACTTCTGTTACCGGGCAACCTGACAGTGACAGAGTCTGGTCATCTGTTGGCGCCTCCACCCGTCATGCCTTTTCATTTCTCATGTTCCACCGCACTGCTTTCATGTCCTCCTAAATGTCAGCCACGCATAAATAATTAAAGTGATGCAGGGACCATGTTGTTGGCTTGTGTCATATGGTGTTTCGCATTGAGACACAGCAGTGATGTGAATAGTGTAATCATGTTGAATCATAATATGTCAGGCTGTTATATATTTACACATTTATAATCGTGCTTCCACCCTGCAATTTTCTACTTATAATCCTTTTTTATTCAAACGTGGAGTGCTTGAACTCATTTCCTAATGACCTCTCTTTTTTGTTTGCATTTCATAACGTTGTTGATACCCAGAGAGTAATTACTAACCTGAGATGTATTCATTACCACATCTGGCTGATCTCCTTAGTTGGAGTGTCATAAAAGAGTCGGATTTGTTTAAGGGTTTTCAGCTCATTAACTCTAACTGTTGCTTAAAAACATACAAATTACTCTGTCATTAAGTCTAGTGTTATCTGCTAATACAAAAACGTTTGCAAAACAGCTTTTATATGTATGTATCTCCCTAAAAAAACTACAATATGATTAGGCTTGGGGACTACCGAATTACATGTAATGGTATTGGAAAATCTGGATATTTAAAAAACAGTAAATGTATTCCCTTACAGTTACAGTTTGTTTTAATGGGATTGCTAGCAGCATTACATTTTTACAAAACATATTCAATATGTTCATATGATATTAAATATTTAAACTATATGTAACGGAGCAATTTCTGTTTTCTTAGATTATTTGTTCTCCTTAACTGAAGTATGTGTGTTGTACACTTTCATTGTTGGTGTAAAGATTATTTTCTCAATTTGCTTAATCAATTATTTTAAAGAGCTAAGTAGAGGACACATTCTTGTTACTAAATATCTTAGTTTCTTATTTGTTAAGGTTACATTGATCTGATGTCTTATATAATACTCTTAGGTAAAAGCCATCTCATTGATAATTATTTTCTCTTGTATGTATTTGCATTGCATTTGATTGTGAGGTAATTCAAAGGAACCAGAATCAGTATTCAGCTCACATTCGTTTCTTATTGTGATTTATTGCTGATTAAATGTTTTTACAGGTTACTAGTAATTGTACAGATTTCGTATAGATACGCTCCCAACCCTGCATATGATAGATTTCTAATGGATTTGTTTCCTCCTGCAGAGATACAAGGCCGGCAGGTGTGACGACATCCTCAAGTGGAAACCCCCGAATCTCAACTCTGTGGACTTTCGCCTGAAGATCACCAAAGTCGGAGGAGAAGGGTAAGTCACTGTTGCCAAGGAAACGCTCTCTGGGATGAGTCTAATAGCACCTATCATTTTGTGACACCCTGAAGTACGTCACATGTATGTGATGCTGTGTGTGTGTCAGTGTCAAAGGCAACGCTTTTATCTTTTCTTTACAATCCAATCATTTTTTCATTTTGCCTTTGGCTTTAGTTCTTGTTACAGTAATGCTGTTTCAGTGTTCCTCATTTTATTCCTGTCACCATCATCGCCCACATGTTCTTTTGTGCTCATTCCCAGAAATGTGCTGTATGTACAAAGAAAAACACTACTGCCATTTCCTTTTTCTTTCACTCTATGCTTATCAACCTCTGCCAGATAAATTATTCAGATCATGATGTGTATCCTGCTAAACATTAGCGCTCTGCTATAAACAATTCTATACCTAGAAAAAGACAAGCAATACCTGGAGTTCAATACATCATTTTGAATGTATTCCTAATATGAAATAGATTAGTACATTAATGAGTCCTTGAACCCGGAAAACACTTTAGTCTACCTTGTCTCGAAGTCAATATTTTTTTTTACGTGTTTGTGGCAAGAAGCCTGAATTAAAGTCTATGGTCAACACAAGCTTAATAGGTTTTTAACGTTGTGTTCTGCCACATAAAATGTCAGTAGATACACCGAAGATCATCCGAAGACTGTGTCAAAAGAAATCTACTACAGATCCCACCGACACAAGTCTCCATTTAGCTTATCGATGGTGATACCGCAATGTTATGGCATTAGGTCAGCTAGTAGTGAGGCTCTAAGAAAGGTAACTGTCAGTAAGTGAACTTGGTCCAGAGTGAAATATTTGTAGTATTTAATAGATTTTTTTAAAAGACAGTTTGTACTCACATTATTGCTAATAAATCGTTCTGACTTCGGTGATCTTTAGACATTTTCTATAGTGTCACTGAGCAGGTTGACATTTTTAAAACTCAGTTACAGTATACGTCTCAAACCACTATCAGATGGATTGCACCGACATTTGGTACAAATCTTCATTTTCCCCCAGAGGATTAATCCTTATACATTTAATGTCCCCCTAACTTTTTTTCCTCACCACCAGCAAGTCCAAGTTTTCCCAACAACTACTATATGTATTTATATTAGGGGTCGACCGATATGGCTTTTTCAAGGCTGATACCGATTATTAGTAATCAAGGAGACCGATAACCGATATTTGGAACCGATATACATTTGCAGCAGATTGTGGTGCAGAAAGCAGAGTTGCTGCGAGGCTCCACTGGCAGCCGTCCCAGCGCGTCACAGTTTCTCCGCTGCGAGACGTTACCCGCCCCCCCCTTGTCCCTTTGTAACTGGGAAACTGATAGAATTGGATCAAAAGATCGTGGTGTTTTTGCAACTTCAGCATAGGGGATTGGGATGTTTATTGAACTTCGCCTTTCAACTGATTTACCTTCGAAACACCGCTCACTGCTGCTGCTTGCCTCTGTCAGTGTCGGCGTTCTTCGCACCTGCCTGTAATCTGAGAAGGTCCCGCCTCTCTGGCTGGCTGCAGCCCGGAAAATCTTCAGTGTTGATTGACACTTCAGTAATAGCCTATTAGATAGCGCTGTGGGCGGGACATTGCTCGTGAACAGTGGTGACTGCAGCCAGAGAAACGGCCGCATCAGAGACAAAGTCGTATCGGCAATTTGATTTTTTAAAAAAGGCCGATACCGATAATCTGTAAAATGCGGATTATCGGCCTCGATAATCGGTCGACCCCTAATTTATATCACATTTTTACAAACTTTCTCGGTGAATGAATCATAATGACATTTGGGATATTTGACAAATATCATGACCCCTATTGGCTGGATTGTCATTTAATTGAGTACAGCCATTTGTGTAACTTTCAGGATCAGAATAAATCCGTTTAATGATCAGCTAACATCAGGTCAACATTTTAGCTTCATCTGCAATGTGTTTTTTGCTAATTGGAAAAAGTTTGCTTGCTAGCATGACAATACAAAAAGACAATTGTAATTGTGAGCACGTTGGCATGCTTTTATCTCTAGGCACCACATTGTGCCTAAGTGCAATCTAACACTGTCCCTGTATTCCCACCAGCACAATGCACATCTCTTTTTTCTCTGTGTACTTCTTCTTCCGATTGTCTGTGAGTATTTTCTGAGTGCTTGCATACAGACTCACTGCATTGAGCTTTCTGGTCACGCTGCTTTTTCCTGAGAGAGCCAGGTGACCTTCGTGACTGTCCCAGCTTTGTAGCCACGAGCCTGCCACCATTCACCAACAACAGACTGAGAGGATCATAGCAGGCCACAGTCACTCAATCTCCTCCGAAGGCAGCCAACTAGGCAGCTTCTAGACTCCTCCCTGTGTGTGGGAGAACACAGACGATCATTGTTGCTGTTGATATTTCCACTGAAAAGATTAATTTAGCTGGCAGAGGAGCAGTCGGCAGACCTCACACAGTCTCGGTTTGGCTTTTCAAATCTCTCCTTAGTTGCTGTCTGAGAGAGTTACAGTAGAGATGGACAGACATATAAGAAGGCAACAACTGTTTATTCATCTGCCCACACAGTCAGTCCTTGAGTACATCTTTGTGTGCCGCTGAGGAGTACGCAGCCTTGCAAGTTTTATTAACTTCTCTGAAAGCAGAGGCAGACGGTGATTATCGTGCGACAGAAAGAGGGGAGAGGTGGAAAAGAACAAAATGGAAAGATTAAGCAATCCCAGAACACATGCCAGTGCCCCTCCTAAGCGTGGAAGTGAACCGTCTTGAGAATTGTATAGAAAGCTTGAATAATGGATAATTTGAGACAGCAAGACTGTGGGAAGAGGGGATTAGTAATGGTTGCATCATCATTTGTTATGTGTTTGAAGGATATGAAGAAGGAGAATGGTACCTCCTGATTGGCTTGGATTGGCTCCCATGAGGCAAGAGTGCAGGCTTCATGTTACCAGTCTTTATGCACAAGTCTCATTACAGCGTCCCAATATATATTTGGTGTAAAGGAACCCTGTCAGGTACTCTCACTTCTGACACATCATGTAAAAGCATCAAAGTGACGTTAACAACATATGATGAATGCTTTTACTCTTGATTGTTACGAATTCATCAAACATTGTACCTGCAGAGCCACCACGATGTTGACATTAAGTTGTTTTGATTAGACCCGTCTCACTAAGTGCACTGACCGCGTCATTTTATTATATTCCACAATCAAGGGAATTCAAAGCCAATGTAAGAAAAGTGGAAATAAGTTAAAGTGAACTGGATTTGCATCAGCTGAGTGGCGGCAAATAAAGTGCCTTCCTGAAAACAATGTTTCAGTGTCAGGAAAAAAACAAAGAGTTGTTTGGCAGTTTCTTCCGTCTCAGCTTATAGTAGCCCGTATTTCTTGCTTTCCCAAGCAACATGGTGACAGAGGTGCAGATAATGAGTTTCAGGATTTATTGCGGAGACGAGTGTCTCTCCTGCACATTCAGCGTGTGTTTGACATCTCTGGGGAAAGTTATACTGGAGTTGTTGTTTCCATCCAGCTTTTCTAATTAAAAAAATGTACATAGAAATGTTTGGATGGAAACGAGGTGTTCTAGGAGTCACATATTGTCCTTCAGGGATACCTCAGTAGTACCTTGAGATGGCAGTGAGTGTGTGGTTGAGAGTTAGCGACTGAGGGTGGATGCAAAACAACAGTAAAGTTGTCTCAAAGTTATTTAAAATTCATCTCATTAATTGACTCTTTTGCAAAAATTGCTTTATTTTCACGAGCAGCCATTGATATTTGCAATAATCGTTTTGCAATATAAACATAACGGCACCACTGTGTAGCATAAAATAAACAATAATTGATAGAATGATAAAAACAGTGTTATGTTTTTGTGAAAAGATTTAGACCATCTTTCAGAATATATGTTGAACAATACAATATTTACTATGTTGTGTTTACAGTTTTTTACCTATAAAGAACCGCAGTGACGCGTCCTAAAACCCCGATGTAAACTCCTTCCGGTTCCTTCGTCAAAAACCAATGCAATTTCTCCATAGGATTTTGGAAAATAGCTGGAAATAAGGTCTGTGGTTGAAACACATTTAAGAGACGGAACACGTTTTGTTCAGCCGGATAATATCCACACGTCTATCCTACTTTTATAATTTTCTAATCATAAATCTAGTCGCCAGAAGCAAAATGCTAACGTTATGCTAAAAAGGAACTACAGCAGGGTCGCGCTTCAACGTCACGCTAACTTAAGATCCATATTCAAAACTACAGATTCAAAATGTTACAAGTTGAAGAGTTTGTTTGAACAGTTTGTAAGAGCGCAGGTACTTGCTTTCAAGCAGAACAGGGCAAACAAACTTAGCGGGAGTGTTTACGTGTTCGGTGTAATGACGTAAAACGGCCTCAACAACTTCTGTAGTCCTCTTCAGCCACTTGTTAACAACCATCGTTTTTCAGACACGTAAACTCTTCAAAAATCACCAGTGGGGTCACTGCTGATGTATTTAATGTCGTAGAACAAAACGTGAGCTATTTTCCAAAATCCTATGGAGAAATCCCATTGCTTTTTGTCGAAGGAACCGGAAGTGGTAAAAATGCTAACTTACTTCCGGGTTTTAGGACGCATCACTGCGGTTCTCTATTAGTATCCATTATTCTTAATATACATTTTCATCATATCATAATAGCTACTGTTATCCAGCATATATCTTTTGTCACAAAAAAATTAAAAGCATGCCATCCAGTACAATGATGTGACACACAGGTATGGCAGATAGCAATAGGCCATACCCTGCAATAATGTGAGAGTGATCAATGAATTCATAGCTTGCTCAATTTGATGGGATTGTATTGGAATGAACCACATTATTGACTACCAATAGCCTAATCTTTAAATAGTGAGAACAAAGAAAGTGTATACAAATAAACGTTGATAAACCCACTTTTATGTTATGGTAAGGAACCTCATATTCGTTACTGTCTTGCTTTGGCTCAGCAATAAACATCATTTTGTACGTCCTTTCTCACTTGAGACACGGTTCCTCAGCCACTTCTTTTAAACATGACCTCATATTATTACTTTGTTTATTAGCTTTCAATTATAAAATGTGTTTTTCCAAGGTTATTTTTTGCTTCCATGGATATAAATCATTTCACATTATGTTCCGGCTGTTCGGTAATACAAGTCTGATTGCATGCTGTTCAAAAGGCTACCGTGACATTTAAAAGCATCTTGATTGATAAAGAAAAAACCCATGCCTGGTGCTGGTTCATTATTTCCATCAGTGTTCTGGGTTGCTAAGGTCTTTCATTTGAACATTTACGTTGGCGGGTCATTTCGGACGGCAGTACTTCAGTACATGTCGTGATTGTGCGTGTAACAGCAACTCAGCATCGTGAAATTGTTTGTTAACGAAAACAAAACTCTCTTCTTCTGTAGTTTTCTGATACAACACATCTGTTTCCTTATCGGTTCAAATGCCTCTTGTAAAATCGTATTGATTAGTGTTGATTTAGAAACTGTGAAAACTGCCATGATCAGTGCTGCACGTTTTCAAAGTTTTCGACACGCAAGGTATTAATAGAACGAATGAAGGGAATGTACTTTGTCTCCTGAGGTCTTTACACGTGACAGTGTCCATCCCTGCTTGGCTGTTTGGATCTTTTATGTCTACGGCTGCTTCCTTCCTGCTTGTTCCAGCTATCATTACACAGGAGGGGGCCGCAGTGGATGTGGAAATGGTCTCCAATTTCAGCTCCAATTGAAATCTCGGAACAAAGTGCATCAGACCAAGACCCACGCTTTTGTTTAGCCATCAGTTTTGCTCAGTTACCAACACCTATATTCGAACAGATATGAAACTGGTGCTCTTGAGCTCCGTCGGTAACAGCAGAGATGCGTAGTGTCTGGAAATAACAACGGGCACAGGGGGGTGTTTCTGGTGGAGGGAGTTAAAGAGCAGTGTGTTATTAAGACATCTGTTGGGCGTGATCTCTGGGATGAGTCACAAATACTGCACAGACACATGTTCAGGGTACTGAGAGACGAGAGACTTCTCCACATATAGATACAGTCTGAGTTTACCGTGCTGAGGACTATCAGGTGGAGATACAAAACAAAAAAATGACCTTGTGCTCAATCTCTATTTATTCTAGCTAGATTTATGTAAAGACTGCTACTAAAAAATGACTTGGCAACCCTCCTTTTTCCCTCTATGTTGTGGCCGCGCCCCTTTTTTGGGTGAAATCATTTGCTGTAATTTGACTGTCAGTAAATGCAGATTCTGATGCTAATCACATCAAAGAATTAAGAAAGCCCAATTACGAAAATCAGACACGCAATCAATGACATAATGACATTGGAGATAAATGATTGGTGTCGATTGCTGGTTTAATTTAATTCAATAGGGCATTGATGTCCTGTCAGCAGCAGGCTTACACTTAAACTGGGATTTCCAGGGCTTGTCAGTGTTTTGTATATTTTAATATGTGTCTCATTGATCTCCTTCCTCTTCGCCTGAAGCCACAGATCTCTTCTTTCACATCAGCTTTTAGGTATGATCAAACAATTTTTTCCGCTTATCTTTCGGGTGAAATATGTATAATTAAATCTCCAAGTATTCTTAAAGTAAGTGCCCTAAAACATAGATTGCAAATCCAATTTTTGGGGGAACTAATTGCTACACACTTTACAAAGTAGCAGGACACAACACGAAACAGGAAATAATTAGCTGGGACTGTTTTGTCTTCTTTGTCTGTCATTTGTCCATCATATTGTTTGTTAACCTATATTATTATTGTATTTTTTCCTGTATCAAATACGATTCAAACAACATGTATTATTGCCTTGGACTCCGAACGTTTGCATTCTGTAGTTTTCTATGCAGAGACAGAAGGGCTCGGAGAGGTGTAATCGCACATCTCTGCCTCTCTGTTACTAGCTGGATAATTGAAGCGGTGTAGTGATTTATTTGCACCGTTGTTACCACTCTGATACGGTTGTGTTGAGGGTGTTAACCACGAGCTTTTTGTCTTTTGTAGGCTGCTGCCACAGACCGTCGGCTTGCTCTACGTCGGCAGCTATGACAGGCCCTTTGCAAAGATGAAGGTGAGAAGATAAATGTGTTGCTTTGTTGAATTCCTCGTCGTGCCAGCAGTTCAACCCCCTGTGCTCTTCCAGTTTCCCTTTAGCATGGCAACATTTCAAGGGTGTGTTGAAGGTATTTAGTTCACATTGCCAAGAATAAAGCATTGGGTTTTTTATTTTCGTTTAATGTGTAACAGGAAGAATTGTACCAGTTTCTTTGATGTTCTTTTATTTGAAACATCCTGATAGAAAGGACAGATCCTTTTGACTTATTTCCCTATTTTAAACATATATTGTGACATATATTATTATAATGTGATCAAATTCTGTTTCCTGAACCACTGTAGTTATAATGAAAAAAGCTACTGTACATACAGTGTAAGCGATCGAGTGATGACAAATGGAGGGTTTTTAGAAAGAAAAACAATACCCCAATATAATTTGTATACTTTATTTTTACAACTTAGATGAACTAATCACTCATTATGACATGACATACATTTGAATAGAGAGTATTACTAACTCATACTTCTAACAAAGGCTACAACAGTTGATCCATTTCTAAATGACCCAAAGGAAAGTGGTTTGCAATCTCAAAGTGATTTGCTAAAATATATATATACATTTCTTCTAATTTCTCAGTTGGTTTCGGATAAATGCTTCTTTTCTTTGTCCTATGCAAAATAACTGTAAGCTTAGGACTCAAATAAAACAGGATTTTTAATTGTATTTCATATAATTCCATAGAAAAAAGATCAATCGCTTAGAAGTAGATCATCTAAATCAGGCATCCTCAAACTACGGACTCCGGTCCGGATCCGGACCGAACCACCACTGTCTCCGGACTCTGAGCAAATTATAGTTTTCATATGTATTATCTCTCTGTATTATATGTGAGACATCGCCACAACGCATTCGCAACGAGTCAAAATTCTCCGCTATGTCCACTGCAAACAGCGCTCTGCATGTCTGACTGTTCCACTGTGTTCCACCTGTGTGTGTCAACGCTTTGGTCCAATCACATTCAGCATCCAGTCAGCGTTTTTTCCCCCCAAACAATCTGCGAATCAGAGGCACAGTAGGGCGGGTCTTCGCGGAATGCGGGTGGGAAAAATGTGTGTGTCTCTTTCAACCTGTCTAAGTCAGAGCGAGAATTAAAAAAAACAAAATTCAGAGCGAGAGTTAACAGCTCATCTAGTTCCATCTGTACTATAGCTAGTAGCCTAGTTTCACCTACCGGGGTGGCAACTGACACCCTAAAAATAGGCCCAGCTGCCACCCCAGTTGGCAGCTTTGTTTTGAAAGAAAAGTTGTGGCTCATCGGACATTTATGAGAGAAAGTCTCTAATGTCCGAGTGCAAGTGAATGCAGCACAAGATGCACGTCATGTGTAACCCCTCCTCCGGTCCTGGCGCGAGCGTTGAAATACGATTGGCGGCGATTTCATTTTGAACTGGACGGCGCAAAACGAGAAGCATTCGGACCCAAGCGCTGAAGGAATGAGGTATTTGCGGTCTACAATGACAGAGAAGAGACTGTCAGTGTGGTTGCACTCAGCATTGAATCAAAACGCACTAAAGCTGTTGATCTTAATACGTTTGTGAGGCGTTTCGCTGAACAAGATGGTAATCGCCGCATTCAGCTGTAATAGACATGTCAACTTGATGCTCTGCTCACGGATGAGCATACAAAACTATTAAGATGATGACCTTACGTGTGTAAATATATTTTTTTCTTTGAGGGGGTCTGCCCCCAAAAAACTGTTTTAAGTCCTGAGAAAGTCAAATAAGACGGTGTGTAAAACTACACTGCCCAGCCAAAAAAAAGTAACCACTTTGATTGAACTAGGCCAGTAGGTAAGGACTTTCCACTGGATAATAACTGCAGTATAAAAGAATGCATGACTGAAGTGATGGCGACCATGTTGAAGGCAAACAAAAAGAGGAAATAACAGGTCAAATCAAGCAAATCCCCCTCTCAGATTGCACAGCAACCAGAAGAACATAAATACTGGCTGGTGATTTGATTCATCAGCTTTGTGATGGAATATAAAATGCACAGTGCATTTCCTTAGCTGTGGGTGAGTCCACTGACACCACTGACAATGCTCAGTTGCTGGTGTTTGTGAGTTTTCATGATGAGGCAAAGGGGGAGTTTGTTGAAGATGTGTTGGGCCTGACGAACCTCAGTGGACACACAAGGGGGGCAAGACATTTATAAAGCAATAATGGGAATGCTGAATGAAAGAGGGTGCAGCTGCCTTTATTCATAACTGTGCAGCTCTGCGACTCTGAGGGGTCAAGCACAGACACAATAACAATGAAAACTGCTGCATACAGATTATTTTTGTTTTTGCAACCTCGTGTTAAGAATCTTGTTGCAATTGTTTAAAAGTTTGAATGACCGTAATAAACGGACCTTTGTCTTATTGAAACATTTATTTTGGACCTTTAAGATTTGTATTTGAGTACCCCTTATCTAAATAATCGTTAGCTGAAGCCCTACATTTTGTATTCTCTGTTTACATACATTTGTAAGGTTTTGTTGTCTGTGATAAAATTTACTGAAGGTTTGCATTTAACATCATGAGATTTAAAGGATTGATATTTTCTATATGAACACACTGCTTTGTATTTTATGTGATCACATCATCAGACCATTGACCACAAACTCATTGAAGTGCACTCCACGATAACTAGCATCTCATCTCCATTAGAAACAGAATCACGTGAGGAGCAACATTATATAAGTCTTTCATTTGTTCTTGCATTCTGATGCAGATTTCTATAATGCCATAACACTATATGGATTAAGGGAATTAGCCACTGTGACTAATAGCCTCTTATGTGTTTGTGTAGGCCTTCCAATAGTCACGCATTGGTAACGCAGTGAACGAGTGTTTCTTTTCCCCCGGTGTTGTCACAGCCCATCGTAGTGCCAGATTCTCATGCATCAGCCCTGGGCTCAGTATCTGAACATGCTATAGACTAGTCTCTGTTTGCTGTTAAACCTCTAAACTCCTCTCAGGGAGACAGAGCAGCAGCCTGGGGTCTCCTGTCCGCTCTCATGTTGCTGTTTTTGTTGGGAGATGTGTTTAACAGTCGCGCCAACTGTGAATATGCTAAAAAATGCTAATCAAATGCCAGAGCAGGACACGGAGACTTGTGGTGTGTTTGTTTTTCATCGCCACTAAACACTTTAGATTTTCATTGCTTTGCTCCTGGGCAATGTCGATGTGTCGATCAGATTCAATGTGAAAGCATCAGGCTGCTGGAGAAATAGAAATCAAACCAACTTTTTCTACAATTAGAAAATGTCATAACTTTTTTATCGGCTACATTTTTCTAAATTAGCTTCTGGGAGTACCGACAGGAAATCGCGAAAATGAATTTTGGAACGGAGCTTAATGATGATTTATCACAGAAATTAAGTCGGTCCCAAAGCCTACTTTTGGTTGTTTGGCACTTATATTTCAACCCATTCAACCACTGCATATACTTTTTCATTAGTGAATCAGAAACTTAGCATGGGCGTGATTTATGGTAGAGATATTGGGGACGTGTCCCTACCACTTTTCTGATTATCTATACATTTCCCCTGCACTTTTCTGTTACATGAATTGCATTTGCGTTTAAAATAAAACTTAATTTCCATCGGCTCCACAAAGTTTGAAACCCCTCATGTTCCAACTAAATGAGAAATAGTTGTTCTATTGGTGTTTGTTTGCTTTTGCCTCGCCTCAACATGGGTTATGGTTGGTGGACTAAATGTTGGCTGTAAACGCAGAGCTTAGACAGAGAAAATGGCCCTCCTGACATTATTGCACATAACATGGATTGTTTATTGATATGAAAGACACTGACAGCTTTTAGAAGTATACAGACTAGTAACTGATTTTGACTTGCTAACCTTAGCGCTGTGCTAATAAAAATGGATAGTTAGTGGCATAATGCGGAACACATAACTTATTTGGACATGATGTAGAGTGGTTTGTACTTTAATATTACTAACTCTAACTACTGCTCTTGGTGTTTGCATTATACCCGTTGTGATGAACTCGTATTTTACTTTCTTCTCTTCAGTTTTGACTTCTATAAAAGGCAGAATTTGCTAAAGCCTGGTAAGTGATGGCTATTGATTCCCCCATTAAGGTTTAGTTTCTCTGCCTCATGGAGTCGGCTCCCTGTGCAGACCTTTCCATGGTCTGTGACTACAGCTCATTATTCAAACATCATTTGAACGCTGCCTGACAGATCTAGACACCAGAGACGGAGATAAGAGCAGCTCTCTGTCAGAGCCCAGAGGCTTTGATGAAGCTGTGAGAGTGAGGAAATGCCCCGCCTGTTTTTGTTTTATACCCCATTAATGATTAACCCCTAATTCGTACTACTCTATATGCATCATTTAACGAGAGGGAGGACAAGTAGTTCTCCGTTTAATCAACATTTACACTTTCTGATAGGGCTGCAATTTGAATATTTAAATAGCTTTTCCTTTTCTCTTTGTTTTTTAGATTTTTCTTGCCCACATCTTTTTGTAAATAACATGAGATGTGGGTTTGAGAACCATTAATACTGTCAGGGTTATTAAATGCACTTCCCATACAAAACGCTCAATCATGCTGCACAACAAAACAAACTAATCAATTAAAAGTTTGGGAGGTAAAAATACAGTTTGGGTCGTTTTTATCAACTTTATTATCATTATTTTTCTGCTTAAAAACCTGACAATGTAGGCCTGCCTTTCCCTCATTTCCCGCACTTACACATAATAAGCTTGTTTTTCACCATTCAATTCAACGTTAATATACATATTCACCAGAAACCCGACACTGATGTCATTTAATAATTTCCCGAGGAGTCGCTGAGTGGCTCACGTTTGTCTCTATTGTTCCAAAGCTGCTCAAGACGTCATATGGTTGTAATTGGCCCTTATAATTAAATTATAGCTAATATATAATACATGTGTGATGTATATTTTAGTTTTCTAACTCACACTGTTTTCTGAGCCATTCAGTGGGGTTGTGTATATTGTAGCTGATATTAATAGACAGAAGGAATCTAATGCATTCTGTCAGAAAGCATATTAAAAGTTGAACATTAGTTTCGTCCATCAGCGCTGTTTCATCGGTTTCTTCACGTTCCTACTTTTGCATTTTATATCATCTCCTCCCTTATACATGATTCCATCCAGAGTGTGGTTATTAAAATGGACCCGAGCGTTGCCGTGCCTCAGACCTGCGGGTCGGTTCTGATTAAGTCTCATTTGAAACAAAGGCGGGGTCAGTCGTAGAGCAATATACTGGAAAACAAAGCAGCTATGCAAGGAAATTACAAACGTTGAATGTTTGCTCATATATGCAGCTGTCTTATATATTAATGTAATACACTATAACACAATGTACCAGTCCAGCAGCCCCCTGACATCCTAGTATTTGATGAAAGAAAGCAGGTTGACTGTCTGTGTTGAGCACAGCCGATAAAAAAGGTTGACTTCCAGGAGTCTGCAGTTATTTGCTTTCATCCCAGTTTCTGCTTTACCGCATGATACAGAATATGGTGTTTGTTTCATAGTGATGAAAACTCTTGGTCCTGTTGTCGCCGACTTTGGATGACAGATTATTTGTGGTTACATTGGCACTGTACATAGAGTTAATGTTGGGGAACTGGCTTTGTAATGAATGTGTTGATTCCAGAAAGTGCCTTAATGGTTTTTAAGGACATGAGCCTGTTCCTTAAAGAAATACATCAACACGGAAAATAATCATTTAAGCAGTACATCAATTACTCCCCCTGTCTAACCTGGCATTTGTGAAGGAAAATGTGTTTTCCTTGCCTTCATGGTAAACAAAGAATAACAAATTGAGAATTATCTTAATGAACTATAATAAAAGGGTGCCTTGTTTAACAATAACGGTTTCATAACATTTGTGTACAAACTCACAGAAGTTGTGAACTTTAATATAAGTCTCACTACTTCCCAAACACATGCACTTTCCATAGAACCTTAAAGCACTTTCACATAAACAGCACTCGAACAAGAAGCCTGCCTGGACTTGTTGATGATGTTTGTCATTATGGCATCTCTTCCTTTCGTTTATTAAATGTTAATTCACTTTCGAGACATGTGAGTAAAACCACATTTTCTTCACAAATGTAAGGTAACACAGTGTGAGTAAATGATAAACAAATGATATTGTTGTCTTTGTGTGTCCCTAATATTCTTCCAAGCAAGCCTTTATTACAAATGAAAGAAACACAAGGGAGCCACAAAAGTAGCAGGCATAAAACTCCCATTTCTTTCTGGTGTAGAGAAATAGAACTACATCCAGGGTTCCCGCGAGGTCTTAAAAAGTCTTACATTTGAGTTGGTGAAACCTGCAGGAACCCTGTACCTCTCATAACACACAAAAGTGACTGCCAATACTCAGTGGCGGCACCAGAGTATTTTTGTTGGGTAATCTATGGTAGGGCTAACCCATACAGTGGCGGGGCTCAAGTCAGTATTTGCAATGTAATTACATACACGCTATATCGCCCCCTTGACAGTGAAACGCCACGCATAAGGTTTAGATTATTTCCCTGTCTCAATCAAAATAGAACTGTATGAAATAAAACGGCACATTTTTCTTGTAGTAAATAAAAAGGGATCACTGTGAACGTCACGTATGATAGTATACGTTGAAGATCCAATGGGGATACTGAATGGCGGTTCCGATTGATCTCAATCAATAAGGCATGACCCAATGTTTCGTTGCTCTGATTGGCTGTAGGTCTGTTCAAATTGCATTCGGAGGCATTTTGATCTGACCGCGGCCGCGCTGATATTATAACGCCAGAGAATTTTCACACCTTTAGTGTATAAAACTCCCCCACTACATAGACTATTCCTTGCACCTCTTCTAGCATAAGCCCGAATGGTCTCAACCAGTAACGTGCACTTGTTGTTACAGCAGGATCAGTTTGTGTGTTGTGGACACGACCGGTAGATTTTCGCAAGCCGTGTTCTCAACATTTAGCATTTTGCTTATTATTTAATTGAATTTGCTTACTTTAACACCATTTGTCATGGTGGGGCTAAGCCATTTCTTGGTATGGCTGTAGCCTTCCCCAGCCATACCCTGGCGCCGCCACTGTCAATACTACTCTAAATTCAGTTTGGTAGTGTTTGTAGTTTCTAAATCAGAACAAACAAGTAAAGCATTAGAAAGACGGGTCTCTGTAGTGAAACACTGGCTGCTGAGGATTGGACTGCCAAAGTCCCTGATAACTGGTGGCACACGTGCGCTGCCATAATGAGACAGATTTGGACGGATTAAGCACCAAGTGGTGGTGAAAAATGGCAGCCAACATGTCACCCTCACCAGCAGGAGGAGATCCCAGTCTGCAGCCGAGCGCCCTGCCCGCCTGCGTCGCCCGTCACATTTCTCTGTGCCGAGCTTTAGCAAAGCTTTGCGAGTCAGTCGCCGCTTTAGATCGTCTGTTCCTCTCCAAACACACAAATGTTTGATTTACAGTTAGTCTTATTAATGTGCCGTTTGTCTTCAAACTGAGATCAGTGAAAAAAATGTGTGGAGATATTTCATTTTTGTCTTGTTTTGAAATGTTGACAATGACTAATTAGGCCTCCACATGAGTTATGTCTCAAGGTCGGTATCTGAAATCAAATAACTAGCATCTCTCTCTCTGTCGGTCTTTCTTCCTCACACACACTTTTCTTTGCTTCCTGTGTGACTTCCACACCCACTGTGAGCCCATATGTCCCACACTCCGGGATCACACAAGCTCTTTCTTTATATTTAAGCCTCTTGCCAAACACTGGGGTTTTCCTGGCAGTGACTGTCTGACCTTCAAGGTGACTCTGAACCCTGAAGGTCAGCTCTTTGTCTCTCCAGTCTCAAAAAAGTACACAAAATGTCTCTGCAAAATCCCAGTAAAAGGAGCACTCGTGGCACCATACTGTTTTCCTTCAAAGTCATATGTTGCATTTTTTTTATTTATTATTTAAGCTGCACTTTTTGCTTCCCAGCATCTTTAGGATTTAGCATTTTCCAAGTCTCGAGAATCCTCTCGGTGCGACAAAGTCCCTCGACAAACAAACAACAGATGATCAAATGTCTTCTTTGACTCATGCTTGATCTTCAGTATTGTATGCCATTTTGATTCGCACTACGATACAGTGTGCTCAGTGGGTATAGTTGGTTTTATTTTCAAAGCAGAATATGATGCAATAGGTCAGTGATCCTGTGTAGCTCAGTAGGAGGAACTGGAACTCTGGCACTGCTTTGTTGAAGGCTGAATCACAAAGATACAGACTCGCTGTGTGAGTATCTGTCTGTATTTATCTCAAATGACAGCAGTGTTGGCCTCGGAGTCATTAAGATTCTCAAATATAGAATCTCTGTTCAATCAAGAGTAGAAAAATGCTTCAAATCTTGAATCTTTAGGAAGTATTTTCAGTGGATGCAGTAGAAATGCACCAATACTTTTGATGTAATATGACCAAAGAAAGGGGGCTATGGTATTCCATTCGCCAAAAGTTAGAAAACCTACAACAACCAGAATGCACTGGGCTTGTTTTCCTGCTGTCCTCACCAAGTCGCAGGGGCTTGACACTCAGCGGTTATTCCTCATTCCTTCATTTCTGCTTTTCATTGTTAAATATCAAAATGTGGACACGACATGCAATGCAAGTTGTCGCAGCAGCTTCTGTAAAACTGAGGTTATTAGATTTCTCACCATTGTCTGTCTTTGTATCTATTAATTATATTTAAAAGAGAAAGACATTAATCCTTAATGAACACAATGTTAGCTGTTCTCCTAATATTGCTCAGTTTAGTCACGACGTGGCTTCAAGTGTTAATGGGTTTTGAAATGTTGACTCACTTGCATGTGTAGTCTCCAGAAAGTAATTGTTATTTTTGTTTTTTACCAATTTAAATTATATCGGTGTATTGTAAAACAAATGTGAAACAAACATCCAATCAAAAAATTAAGAGACAAAACTGGCAAATGCATTTGCTTCAGAATTTTTTTACTTCTGCTTCAAAAACATCATAAAAAACATTTAATGCATTTAAATGTTGCCCTCTTAACTGCTTCTAAAATGAACCAATGGTAAGTAGTAACATCTCAAGTGAAGATAATAATTTGCAGCGTATTCACATCATGTTTGAAAAAAATGCAGCTCCTCGTGCCAATCATTGTGAGCTGTTGGCTTTCATCAATGCAGCAGCATGTCTCTGAAAATGTCTCAAAATACACTAACGGTTTTATCATTTTCACAGGAAATGGTGGCAAAAAGAGAAACTAAAATTGCACTGCTGTCTCGCTAACTTTGTATCCTTTCATCTTCGTCTTCACAGGCCACCAAAGAGCTGAAACAGTACGACAACAAGATCATCGAGTGCACCTTCGCCAACAGCACCTGGGTGTTCATGAGGCAGCGGGTTGACAAGAGCTTCCCAAACTCCTACGACACAGCCATGGGTGAGACTTTCTGACACTCAGTTATTATTATCTCACCGTCTCCTCTATCTGCCAGAGTAACAGCCTGCGATTAATGGCTCCTTTTATCTGTCCTGCACATCAGGCTCCTGTCTTAGTTTGATTGGTAGAGTGTGTGTGAAGGGGCAGAAGATTGTGTGTGTACTTTCCAGACAGTCTGGATCTGTATTTGGTACCAACAATGCTTTTTTCAGTGAATTGGGAAAATAGGTTTTGTTTCATCTCTTTGCCTTTGCTGCCAAAATCAAGAATTGCAGCATGACTTTATATCTGAGGTTTAACTGTTGGGTTTTAAAGCTCTCATCGACATTTGTTTATTAACAATGAGTAAGTGAAAGGGGTCACAGTGGAGTCAGTGGCAGTTCTAGACCAATTTGACTGGGGGGGGCCAGTTATTTTCTGAGGGGGGCACAATAAATGCAGGACGAAAAAGAGAACTAGACAGTATGAAGTAATTGCGCATAAGAAAACAATGCAATACAGTTATTGGTATTTGTTTCAGTACACTTATTTATTTCAGATATATCTTATAGTTATTACTGTTAGCTTCAGCTTAAGTTATAGTGCAATGTTTGCACTCACACCATATTTATATAAAAATAAAGGCAATGAACAGTTACATCTCTACTTTACATAAGGGTGTCTGCACAATCTCACATTACAGAAACAAAATCCTGCGGTTTTTGGCAAACCGAGTACCAGAAAATATACATTTTTTTTTAAAAAAAAACGTTTCATTGTTAGGGGGCCACAGGGGGGGTCAGAGGTCAGTGTTAGGGGGGCACTGGTTTTGATTGATTGATTGAAAAGTTTATTAACAGCTTGTATATTGGGTACAGTACAGTACAGCTCAAAACATACAATTGTTAAGGGGATGCAGACCAGAGAAAGACTTTCGTCTTGTTTACATCAGGGTCCCCCATTTCCAATTCATCATGTCATTTAAGACATATAAGACATATTTTACATACAGATTGCTTATTTACAATTTTCATTTTAGATTTGGTTCTAATACATCCTAACCGGACATTTAAGACATACCAAGTCTACAGATATACAGTTAGTAACAGAGTCTAAAATGCGAGTATATACATAGATGGCGGGGATGCTGTCCATTGAACGACAGGTTGAGATTTGTACCATTACCGGGGCCAGTTTTGCAATGCTCTCCCCCGAAGGGGCTCTTTAAGAGAGGTTTTGAAGGTAAGTATAGTTTTACTTTCCTTTACAGTTGTGGGAAGAGCGTTCCACCTTGATGTGGCATAATTGCGAAACGTGTATTCCCCCTTTTTTGTGCCAAATCTGGGTTTCACATGATTTGTGGAGCTCCCTCTGGTGTTATGATCATGGTATTCCTTGACCTTTGGGAAGAATTTTGACATGTACATGGGTACCATAGAGGTGTAGTGGCCCCCCCTGGCCTCCCCCCTAGAACCGCCCCTGCTTGGAGTATCAAACCCACACCAAATCTGCAAAATCCCTTCAGCTCAAACGTGCGTTTTAGCGTGGTTTGGTTTTACAGCGGTTGAAGCAAAGCCGACGGTGTATGTGTGTATTTATTCCTCTGTCACGTTAAACTATGTTCACGGTATTCCTGCCCTAAGATCATGGCATCGTCAACACATTTCAACTTTAAAATCAACTTTAAAATCAACAAAAACTTGAAACACAACTTCAAATAAAAGCTGTCTTCTTAGTGCGTGAATAAGAAACTGTTATCTAACATGTCCACTATGACGACTTGTTTCAAAGGAAATAAATTCATCCTGATTTTTAGATGACGGTTTTTAGTTGCTGTTTGGACGCTTAAAGCAGCGCTACAGTGACGCCATCTTGTTGTACTTGATTTCTTTGCAAAGAATATATTTTGAGAGCATACAAAGAATCACCTAGATGAAGCTTATTATCACTGTGCAAGATATTCTATCAGCATTTTAATAACGTTCTTAATAAAACGAAAAGTATGATGTTATTTGACTGCTAATGGTTTGAAAACCACTATCTTTAAACCATTTGTATCACTTTAGTAGCTGAATTGAATGGCCTGAGAGAATGCAGAACAACACTACCTCAGTAATAAACCTTATTTGTGTGCAGCACTTATCTAAGTGCTGAGTTTACAGTGCTGTGCAACACGGCACATTAAAGTACAAATTGCAAGCAAAAGCGAGAGAAAATACATAAAAATAATTAATTGAATCATAGAAGAAGATTTGAGAATAATTTAGCTTTACATCCATAAAAAAAAGTATGTTTTATCTCAAATGTAAAAAGATAGTCCTGCATTTCTCCTCCAGCTGACAACAACCATTGATAAAGCTCTAATAACAACACAGGGACGTATTCATCTATAACATTTCCACCTGGGTCACCCTTAGCCACAGTTCCCTTGGTAACAATGGCTCCATACAGACCTTTGGGTTGCTATTTTAAAAGAAAATTATAAATACAAACGATTTACTCTGGTATAGTCTGCAAAAGCTCCATTGCTCACTAATGACCAGGGTGGGATTTTCACGGCGGCCATGACGACCATGGCCGTCGTAGCCCCTCGGTCTGGCCGTTATGCCCCACAAATAATTGTACGTCCTACGGCCACCATGGCCTTTGGGCCCCTCGCACTGTTAAAAGTTGCTTTAAAAGCGTCAGAACAGTGGTTTCTGAACTGCATTATGCTGCGTTCACAACGGACGCGATGCGAATATTCGCATTGCTCCAACCGCTGGCGTTTCACCCCGGCTGTCAGCTGTGTTTACTCCTGTCATTCAAACAGGACGCGCTGGAGAGGGGGCAGGGCTTATATCCATGTAAATACTGTGGTGGAAACCAACTACGACCAAATTAACCTATGTTACCGTGATTTAATTGTAATACACGTTTCAAAATGATGCCGAAGTAACTAAATACTGATAACGGTTAGTAAAAACCATGCTTTGACAAGTGTGCAGACAAGACGGCATGCAAAACCTTTTAAAATGCGCATTTTGTGAATGGAGATTGGATCGATCAGGCTAAACTAACGTTGTAGCTGCTCCGTCCACACTCACAACAACGTCCTAAAGACAGAATTAAAGCAGCGACTGTACTCGTCCTGACAGAGACAGTCTGTGGTTTGTACTTGTTTAACTTTTGTCTAGTTTCTGAACAGATATGAGGAACTGTGAGGAGTTGATTAAAGAGACACACACACACACACTTTTGCATTTCAAAGTATTGCTTGTTCATACAGTTGGATGTTGGAGCTTCACTGTGCACTGCTGAATGATGTATATGCAGTTTGAACCTTGAAGGCTGTTTCTTCTGCTCTGAAATGGAATATATTTGTTACATATTAATAGAATTTTAGATTTTTAGATTTCATTTTGGATTTGTGAATGGGAGAAGTAGTAGATGGAAAACATACCAAACACTAATTATTCAAAGTAAAGTATTTCATTTTAAATACGGTAATACTAAGGAGGCATAGGCCTATATGATGATATGATTATTGATATTAAAAAAGTGATTTGTTTTTTGTAATTAGAAAGTGAAGTTATTTATTTGTAAGCTCCAAATCCTAATTTTTTTCTCAATGGCCTTTGTGCCCTGGCATGTGGCCTTTGCGCGCTGAAAAAATGTGTGACACCAAAGGCCAAATGGCTTGCACTCCAACACATTATACCTGATAAGGGGCGTGTCATCTCTAAGCGGTTGACCAATCACAACAGAGACAACCAGCTAACCAATCAGAGCAGACTGGGCTGTGGTTTCAGACAAAAGAGGTGCTGCAGTACAGGTAGTAGGAGAAAAATAGCTTTTTGAACATTAAAGCATGGAGACATGTCACAGTAGAGACACTGAATACATATATGAACCTTAAATTAGCATAATAGGGTTCCTTTATATGTATTATTGTGAGGAAAATATCATTCGTCACGTCACCGGCTTGAGCTTCAATATCAGGATACATGTATTTATTATCCTTGCAAGAATGGAAGTAGTCGTCACACACAGAGCTGCATGGGACAAATAGTTCCCAGAACAGTGTCCTTCACATGCTTAAATACAAGAGAGGGAGTTACACAGTCACAAGATGCAGAATACCGGTTCAAAGCAGTATTCATGCTTGTCATATGTGTATCTCCATAGAGGCTGAATCCTCATGTTAATCACATAGCTATCATATGCTGCTCCTAACACTAGGATGGGTCAAATGCAGAGAAACCATTTTGTTACATAGTAAGTAAGGCCTACTGTGTAATGACAATAAAAGTGAAAAAAAATGCCTAAAACAGTCCTGACGCTCTTCTAGGTAATCATACATCTGGTTTCGTCCACAGCTACGTAGGGCCTTTGTTATCATGTGCTACTCTGATATTGTAATAGCCCATTCAGTATTTTCCCAACAATTATGTATTTATGTAGCATTTGCTAAAGTAAACAAAATGCAAATCGCCTGTGATCCAGAATGCTGCATGCGTCTGTCAGCATCTCTTTAGTAACGTCCTCCTGTGTTTGTGGTTTCTCTCCACAGGGGTGTGTAAAAGCATCACGGAGCCCGTCACTAAGGACATCCTGTTGGAGTTCGTGGACCGCTACTCTCAGGCCGTCCAAGCCCAGAACCGGAAACACCCCGCAGACGCAGACTCTGAGCTAATGCCCCCTCCTCCTCCAAAGAGAGTGAACCGGGCCAACCCATAGCTCTCATCCGGACGCTCTCCAGTCGCAGCGTACATCACCAGCCCCCCCTACAGAAAACAGACATTTCAAAGCTTTTATTTCCATCAGCACATTTGCTTTCACAGCCTATAAATGCCAGGACTTTGATTGACTGCCTCGTTAATTTACCTTGTAGACTTCTTTGTAGCTTTACTTGCTGGTGTTCTTATTAAAATGAAAATCATAATGGTTAGTTTATTTTTTGTTTTGCTATTTATCTTTTTTTTTTCTTTTTTTTTTTTTTAAAGCCTGAGCTATTTATCAAAAGGGACGTTCTTTATCTCTACAAAACAACACCTCTCGATGCAGACCTTGTTCATGTTTTGTCAACAAGTTCCTTATTTGTATTGAAGGAGGAGTAAACATCATAAACGCTCAGTCTGTCGTCTCAGTGCATTTTTAAAGAGGAAACGACTCTTCAAGAAGATTTTATTAAGATTAGCACAAAGCTGCATGTGCTTTTGGGTTCAATTAACGATGCCGCCTGGTTTTCCAAATGTTTTCATAACTAAAACGGATACATATGAGATCTCAGCTCTGTGTTTCGTAACATGTTGTCCAAAGGAAGCCCATCTGTGTGGACTTTTTGTTTTAAAGGCCATAGGGGTGGGCGGCGAAATGGCAACATGATTACATAGACTCAACAAACTAAATGAAGGAGCAACAGTGAAATCCAGCTACAGATGGGCGACAAATAGACAGGAACAGGAAGTTGAATGGTTTTGGTGCTCGTTGATTCTCTGGACTTGACCAAAAGATGTTCACTCGGTTGATGTTCAGAGAGGGAGATGAAGGATCAGATAAAAACGTGTTAAATTGAGTTGAGATCTCGTGGTAAAGGACTTTTTAGAGAAACATAATCCCTCACTATCCGGTGTCGCCCATGGGACCTCATTTCAACAAAATGGTATACTACTGTCAAAGACAAATAGTATTTCGATCCCTTGAATTGTGCAATGTGAACATATGATTTTGTCAATTTCGAAGACGGTTTTGCAAGTCAAGAAAGTTGCAGTTTTGTACTGGTACCAGTTAGTTATGAATAAAACCCTTGTGAACTACATCTCTCGTCTCACACAACATGTCGCAAATGCTATCCAGGTGCAAGTTTAAGACACCCATTAATGCTCAGGCCAGACGTGTTTCTTTCACGCACTGATCTGAAGACATTTTCTAAATTGGTCAAACTGGCCATGAGTTTTCTGATCATAAGTTGTCTTTTGGCACAAAGGACTACTTTTAATTTTGTAGATGAAAAGTAGTCCCATGTGCCTAAAAACAAAATGCAGTATTATAAGAAAAACTATAACGAGCAAAATCAAGTATGATTTGTATCTGAACCAATATCAAGATTAATATCAAAGCAATACACACGTGCAGTAAAATAATTCTATTAAGTCACTTTAATAAACACAACCTGACTGACTTGATAGGAGTTTTTAGTTCAGACGAAAAAGGACACCTAAGTAGATAAATGTTCATGACTTAAAATTCATCAGAAAAGAAGTGTCAATTATTCTTCATACTGAATAGTTTAAAGTTAGAAATGGGTTGAAATCTGCTCAGATCCGATTTTTAAGATGCTTCTTTTCACTTTGTTTTACTCCCATAGGAAAACCTTGTTGCCAGGCAAAATGTAGCTTTTTCTTTTCTTACCCTGTTGCCCACGTTGGTGCCTGTTGCTAGGAGTGTCGCCCATCTGCACTAATTATCGCTGTAGTGTTCGTAGAAACTCACACATACTTACTGGTGCATCGACATTCTTTGGTTTGGTTTACGCTATCAAATAATATCTCCATCTGTTTTATTTATTATTTGTATGTTTTTTTATGAAGGACAATCTCTCTTCTTGGCTGGAAGATGCTGCAGCACTGATTCAACACTGAGGGAATATTTATATTTCTGTCTGACTAAAAAAGGTGTGCATTTCATGGAATTGTGTTGTGCAAGTTTGTTCCCAATCTGCGCCACCATGCAGTGAAGCGGCTTATTTTTGGGCCCCCAGAGTCAGAATTGTGCTTATTTTAAGATAAGGGTGACGACAGTGAGTCATGCAGCCTGGAGAATTTAGATCAGAAGTTACGGAATAAATGTAAATCAGTGGAGTATGACACACAAGGGAGGAACAAATGAAGTGTGTGTGTATGTGTGTGTTTTGAGTTGCTGTCTGTTGGTGCCTCAGGCGACTGTTCTCCTTTTAGCTCAGAAAGATGATCCGTCTCCCCGGGCTCTCTTCCCCTCTGGCTGCACATGAAAGATGGCTGATTCTCATCAAAGCCTCTCACCTTTCTGACTTTAGGCTGCTGCCGCTGAGACATCGTCGCTCCCATGTAGCAGGTGCAGAAACATTTATGTCAAATGTTCTCATCACTTACAATTCATCCTCCCATCCTACACTGAACAAAAATATAAATGCAACACTTTTGTTTTTGCTCCCATTTTTCTTGAGATGAACTCAAAGATCTAAAACATTTTCTAAATACACAAAATAACCATTTCTCTCAAATATTGTTCACAAATCTGAAAAAATCTGTGATAGTGAGCACTTCTCCTTTGCCGAGATAATCCATCCCACCTCACAGGTGTGGCATATCAAGATGCTGATTAGACAGCATGATTATTGCACAGGTGTGCCTTAGGCTGGCCACAATAAAAGGCCACTCTGAAACGTGCAGTTTTGCTTTATTGGGGGGGTCTGGGGGGGGTCCGAAAACCAGTCAGTATCTGGTGTGACCACCATTTGCCTCACGCAGTGCAACACATCTCCTTCGCATAGAGTTTATCAGGTTGTTGATTGTGGCCTGTGGAATGTTGGTCCACTCCTCTTCAATGGCTGTGCGAAGTTGCTGGATATCAATCAATCAATCAATGTTTATTTATATAGCCCAATATCACAAATGTTACATTTGTCTCAATGGACTTTACAGTTTGTACAAAATATCAGTATGACAATACGACACCCTCTGTCCTTAGACCCTCACATCGTACAAGGAAAAACTTCCAGAGAAAACCCACAGTTTAAAGGGAAACATGGGAGAAACCTCAGGGAGAGCAACAGAGGAGGGATCCCTCTCCCAGGACGGACAGACGTGCAATAGATGCCGTGTGTAAATTGAAAAGATAATACATTTGCAACATAGGTAGTCCAAATGTTTGGAAATGCATGTGTGTATAATAGGAAGATGAATCCACGAGGATATCCATCCAGGACCTATGATCCAGGACCACAGCCACGACTCAAGATCCAGGGCTCGCGATCCAGGACAGAGGAGCGCAGGATCATCCATGACTCCGGATCCCGGCGTATATAGACACCAAAAAGAAAGACATTTGGGGAAGCTGGGTTAATCGGAACATGAGTACACAGGTACAGACAGAGAGAAGGAAGAAGTAAGATGTCCCCCGATAAACTAAGCCTATATCAGCAAAACTAGGGGCTGAATCTAATCAGCCCTAACTATAAGCTTTATCAAAAAGGAAGGTCTTAAGCGCACTCTTAAAAACGGATAGGGTGTCTGCCGTCCGAACACAAACTGGAAGCTGATTCCACAAATGTGGAGCTTGATAAGAAAAGGCTCTGGCTCCCATTGTACTTTTAGAGACTCTAGGAACAACCAACAACCCTGCATTCTTGGAACGCAATGCCCTAGTAGGACAGTAGGGTATAATGAGTTCTTTAAGGTAAGATGGCGCCTGCCCATTAAGGGCTTTGTAGGCGAGAAGAAGAATTTTAAATTCTATCCTGTGTTCTATAGGGAGCCAGTGTAAGGCAGCCAGAACAGGAGTAATGGATATTGGCAGGAACTGAAACACGCTGTCGTATACGCCGATCCAGAGCATCTCAAACATGCTCAATGGGTGACATGTCCGGTGAGTATGCTGGCCATGCAAGAACTGGGATGTTTTCAGCCTCCAGGAATTGTGTACAGATCCTTGCAACATGGGGCCGTGCATTATCATGCTGCAACATGAGGTGATGGTCGTGGATGAATGGCACAACAATGGGCCTCAGGATCTCGTCACGGTATCTCTGTGCATTCACAATGCCATCAATAAAATGCACCTGTGTTCGTCGTCCATAACATACACCTGCCCATACCATAACCCCACCACCACCATGGGCCACTCGATTCACAACATTGACATCAGAAAACCGCTCACCCACACGACGCCACACACGCTGTCTGCCATCTGCCCTGAACAGTGAAAACCGGGATTCAACCATGAAGAGAACACGTCTCCAACGTGCCAGACGCCATCGAATGTGAGCATTTGCCCACTCAAATCGGTTACGACGACGAACGGGAGTTAGGTCGAGACCCCGATGAGGACGACGAGCATGCAGATGAGCTTCCCTGAGACGGTTTCTGACAGTTTGTGCAGAAATTCTTTGGTTATGCAAACCGATTGTTGCAGCAGCTGTCTGAGTGGCTGGTCTCAGACGATCTTGGAGGTGAACATGTGGAGGTCCTGGGCTGGTGTGGTTACACGTGGTCTGCGGTTGTGAGGCCGGTTGGATGTACTGCCAAATTCTCTGAAACGCCTTTGGAGACGGCTTATGGTAGAGAAATGAACATTCAATTCACGGGCAACAGCTCTGGTGGACATTCCTGCTGTCAGCATGCCAATTGCACGCTCCCTCAAAACTTGCGACATCTGTGGCATTGTGCTGTGTGATAAAACTGAACATTTTCAGTGGCCTTTTATTGTGGCCAGCCTAAGGCACACCTGTGCAATAATCATGCTGTCTAATCAGCATCTTGATATGCCACACCTGTGAGGTGGGATGGATTATCTCGGCAAAGGAGAAGTGCTCACTATCACTGATTTTTTCAGATTTGTGAACAATATTTGAGATAAATGGTTATTTTGTGTAGAAAATGTTTTAGATCTTTGAGTTCATCTCATGAAAAATGGGAGCAAAAACAAAAGTGTTGCATTTATATTTTTGCTCAGTGTATTTCAATTCTGGCTACCATTGTAGCTTCCTGATCTAATGTAACTTGTCAAAATGGACCTCTGCCTGCAGGCGTTTCTGCTTCCTTCTTCTTATGAAAACTGTATCTGGGTGGAAGGTTGTGAAAATAAACCAAACACATGAGAAGGTAAATCCATGACGGAATGTTTTTTCTCTGGTGCAGGATGGGAGTGCCTGTATGGATCTGGGAAAGTAAACACTCTCTTTGCATGAGCACAGGTGGTGCAGTGCAGATTATGAGGCTCACTCTTTCCTGGCTCAGGTGTTTAAAAGCTGGAAGCCGCCGAGCTTCTGGCGATATTAAATCAGCACAGACAAATTGCAGGCCATTATCATCTGATTTTTGAATAATGCATTTATGTGGTGTTCACGATCTCTAGTGCAACCGGAGCTGCAGAGATGTATGTGGGAATCTCCTCTGTTTTGATAGTATGAGCCTTAGACTTAATATCTTACATTTATTGATTAAATGTGTTAAATTCATTAACTTTTACATTCTTAACCCTCATGAGACAACTTCTTCCCAGCCTGTTTTAGCTTGTCTTATTGTGACAATAATACTATTTTATCTATGATAGCTTTCTCCCAACAAAGTGAATTAATAGGTGCATATTTGACCTGAAAGGGAATCTTTTATTGTTGAAATGCCTCATTATGTTAATTATAATATCTAACTAACTATTTAGTTGCATTTTCATCCTCAGGTTATATGCAGAATTCATAGAAGTGACCAATTCCACTGCACTAAGAATAATCTGATGTATTTTAATAATAAACTTGCTCTTGATAATGAAGTCGGAAAGCCCTGACCTGATTACCCTGCTGAAATTAGACAAATGTAATTACATTGTTCAGCTGCTGGAGTCAGAGAGGCACGGTGCCACAAATCTATTATCGCAGATTGTCCTCCCCATAAACTGCTGAGGCGCGATGCCATGTGGCTACAAATGGATCCTATTTGGGGGAAATGGCGATGAATCTCCATGGTCCTCCTCCGTCAGAGGCAGCAATCAGGAGGATGTTTGTGACGGCAGACAGACATTCTGCAGGCTTCATTTGTAATAGGCTGTCATCATGTTAATGTC